TAAACATTACGAAATCTGTTCTCAAAAATCTAACATACTAAGACAGCATTTCTGAAACTGTGATACGTGCCCTCTTAGGGGGGGTGATATCCCTCCGTGGGGGGGGCGAGCATTTCAAAAACCCGATAAGATTAAAAAAAGATTATTTTTAAAAAAATTTACTAATTTACTTAAAGGAATTGAAACAAAAGGAATACTGACGTAATAAATGATAAAATACCCATTTACACTGATATAATATACTTATAAATTTATCTGTACTGTACAAACATTTGATAATTAATTTATCCATATTAAACTAAGAGCAAGTTTTTTATTACTTCTGACTCCCATGTGGTTGTTATATATACACAAAATTTAATATTATCTTGATAATTTGTGTGATTTATAATTAAAGTCCTATTGTACCTGTAGGGTCAAAGTACATTACTATTACATTCAATACAATGTTATTGTATGAAGGAGGGAAAAGTATTGTATGGGGGTGATGAAAATTATGATTGAAAATTGGGTCGCAAACATTGAAAGTTTGAGAATCAATGTACTAAGAAGAATAAAAAATTAAAAAAAAACAATGCACAACAGTATTATTTTCCTCCCTAAACTTGAATTAAATTTTCATCCATAACATCAAAATTATGTATTGTATTCCATAAGAAAATCATACATCAACAAGTCTTTATTAGAGCTTTCAAAACTAACACAATTGTGATTTGAGTATATCCAGTCCTTCCTCCCCCACCTTCCGGCGGACGTCCAAAATCTCAGGTGATTTACTCAACTCGCTTCTCCCTCTTTTTCTTCTCCCTTCTACATCAGTCAGATTAATTCGATTTCTCCATCCATGCAACACTTGTTATACGAGCGGAAAATAAAACGCCTTTACAAGAGTAATATTATAATGTTGTCCTCCACGTTCTGAGGTATTCCGCGATCCTTGATGGATGTCGGTGGCCAAGGGTTCCGGACAAGTTCCATTCATCTGAAGTTATAAAACAATTTACATCCGGGGACCTTCCTTTTTTATAATTTTTTTCCTCTTCCAAGTCCCTATCCACTCATTGATCGAGGGGGGGGATAAGAATAAAGAAGGGAGGGTGGAGAATCGATGTTGAAGATCCCCCTAGTTCCCAACCATCGAGAAACAATGAAATGCTGGTACCTATTCAAATGTGGACGATAATTTATCATGACTCAAATGATTCCGATTTTGCTGGGGAACACATTAAGGATTCGGGATGGGAGGGTGGCGGAGGACAGAGCGAAAAATAAAATAGAATGTGAAATAGTTTTAAAAAAATACAGGGAAATAAAGTAAAATAATGAAATATTGATTAGCTGATGTTTTACTCCAAGAATGAGAGAATATACCCCCGTTCGAAAAAATATTTAACGATGATGATGAGACATAATTTGGGATCAGACATGGGGAGTAATACTAACAACAAAGTAATTTCCAGGAATCGATTCTAAGTTGCTGAATGGCTTTTATAGGGGGGTGGAGAGAAGGGTAGTACAGTAATGAGAGCGCTACTCCAAAAGCGATATTTTAAAGTCTTTTTCCTTGAGGAATGGAAGAAGGAGGCAGCAGAGCGATTATTGAATTAGTTTTGCAACCGGACACTTTATTGATTCTCCAGGAAATGAATGATATTTCAGATGATTCATCAAAATTGAATTAAGACTCTGCTTATGAGTTTGTCCGGCTTCGAGATCGAAGGCCACGGAGTCTTTAATTTTCGTCAAGTTATGTTATTGTATAGGCAAGAGAAGACCATCATTTTCTTTGGCAACATATTAGTTTTAATTTTTCCTTTGCGATATTTTAACCATTACTGTCTGCTCTAAAAGGATCATCATAAATTCGATAGAGATTATTTTAACAAACTCGGTTTTTGAGCAAAGGTGTCAGGATGTCATAAGTATTTAAGTACAGGAAACAGTTGTTAGTATTTAAATTCCCGAATGTTTTAAGTTTAAATAAAAAAACTGAGGGAATCTGCTTTTTTTGATTTTTAAAATACCTTTTATAAAATTTTCATCTTGAGTAAACATTAGAAATGATCAAGTTATATAATTTTCCTCTGTGTTTTATTAATGCTGTTATTATAAAATTACATATATATGAAGCCTGGATATATTTTGAATCACTGCAGTTCTTCCAAAGTTTGTATAGATATAAATTCACAAAAATTAAGTGCTTTAAGACATAGAGTTATTTTTATTGATTATATAAAAAATTGTATTGGCTCTCAACAGAAAAGGTTAAACTCCGTTTGATCCAACAGAAGGAAAAAGAACTGAAATTCGTGAAATTGTACACCTCAGAAGTGGAATAGCAACATCATAAAGGTAAGCGTGTAACCACGAATAAAAAGAAATAGAAATGATAAAGTGATAAGTGATCACTAAATAGATGTTCCATTTAAAAAGAAAAAGCAAAGATATGCACTAGAGAACTGTTTATTTAGTGGTAATGTGGCCCCACGGGCCCCTAAATGATATAAAGCCTACTGTCAATAAGGCTGTTAGTGGTATTCTGAGATATTCCTTGTCAAGCCAAATGTCCACTGTATATCTTAACTTCTCTACATTAAGGTAAAGATCGCGTAAGACTGCCGTCCAGGAAAGGGTGTCAAATCCATTTAGGATTCTAAGAGTTCATCCTGCCAGACAGTATCCTATTGGAGAAAGAAGATGTATTGCCCAAATGTTCAAACCATAGGTAAAATAATTTGTGCAGAGTATTGGTTTGGTGAAAAGGGATGTCTGCAGTCTAAACATGATGTCTTCCCAACTCGTAATCCGGGTGTGGTTATGATGAACATTTGACTATATAGATTGGCGGATTAAATTCCCCAGGGAACGGCCACAACCTTCAATTACCTTAATTCCCCCATAAATAGAATTGGGATTTATCTGAAAAAAAGAACCCGATTTCATTGATTGGTTCAGTGGCAATAACCAGATCGGTCCAGAAACACCGAATCAGGTGCGCAGGTTTGTAATGAGCGCTTAAAAATCTATAGTACCTGTCTGCTATGAGTACAGCCATCCCTCAAGCATCTTGTAGAAGATAGTTTGACTGCTGATAGATGTACCCTCTGATAGTGACAGGAGGTTTTACCATGATTCGATTACTTGTTTACTTTTTGACTACAGCGTTCATTAAATTGCGATCGATACAATAGACAGTTCTCAGATCAATAAATAATTTCAAAACCGCTGGAAGTTACGAGTATAAAAAGCCAAAAGAGAGTTGTCAAAAGGGCACTTGCAAGTGCGTTGGGTGACTCCATAATTTTTATCACAAAGAAGTCAGCAAGAAAATCAGCCAAATAAATTCAAGCTCTGCTTACAACTCTAGCATATGTATATATATATAAATACTTAGCTAAATGAATACCTTCTTGTGCATAAATATGGCGTTCATGATGAATCATCTAAGCTGACCAGTACTGTATATTCGATGAAGAATGAAACAGAAGGAAATTCATTCCTTTTGCTTGCATACAAGAACTTCAGGGAAATAAAGGTGATTTTAGTATGCGTCTTCTTTCAGCAGGAAAGGAATGTATTTTAATAATTTGAAATACAAATAATTTATTTTAATCCAAAAGAAAAACAATTAATATTTTAATGCATTAAACTACCAGTTTTAATAACCTATTTTCTAACAATTTTTACTTCAAATATATTTTTACCATAAATTTTTTCCTTTGAAAAAGTTGCATTGATAAAATCTACTCTCTTTATTTTTGTGTGTAAAAATGATATATACTAATATCACACTTAGCACTTATTCAACTCTTCTTCAGCCTAACAATATCTCATTGCGGAATCTTAAATTTTCAATGAATCCAGATATTGAATACTCACGAAATAGCTTCGGAATCCTGAACAAAAAATACAAATACCTTACAAAAACACTGCTAAAAACAAAGAAAGCGACAAACAGAGCATACTCAAAGAAAAGCGATGTCCTAGTTCATTAAAACAAGTTTTCACGGCACGAGGTGCATCAACACTAACTGTTCTGTCACCGACTCATCCAAACAAGGGGAAAACGGGTCGATGCGGGCTTTAAAGCTCCATTTCGAGGGCTATTCATCGGCGCATTCAGGCCTTATCGGTTTCGAAATCACACTTGATGTGATGGGGGTAGAAGTTAGTATTGTAATAAACCTGGGCCATTTGCATCGACCAACCAGCTCGATTATGTAGGTAAGCAGTCCCAAAAACAAACGCTGCGTGCCCAACTCTCATTTCAACTTAGACGAGGCCCATAACTGAGTTAAGTTTGGACTTAATGCTCAGTGTTAGGGGGAGTTGTAAGACGTATTATAAGGATGGAAATATTTTGTATACTGATTTAAACTGTTTGTATTTTAGATGAATGATGATAAAAAAATACTGTAAATTTTTGATAATGGAAATATTTAGATTTGCTTAGATTTTAGCAAGATAAAACAGATAGAAGTGGATACATTTGTCCGCATTTTTAATCAATCGAGAATGTATATCTGCTCTCATATGAAGATATGAATTATGAATAATAATAATTTTTATAAAAGAAATTATTTACTAAAAGCATGCGTAATCCAATTAAAATTTTTTTAAACATATGTGTAATTTTTCAATTTTTACTGGTATGTATAATGAATCTAAAAATTTCATTACCAAAAATGTATAGGATATTTTTGGGAGTTAACAGCTCATTTAACAGTTTAGATTAGTATTCAAAATGTTTCCATCAATTTATTTTTTCAATTCCTACTATTAGCCACACTCTCTCTCTATATATATTTATTTATATATCTTGTTCAAAATTTCAACCGTTAATAAAATACTTTCTATTCATCCATTTAAGTTCAAATAACTTTTTTAAAACTTGTAGTGGATGGCACTTGATGTTAATACAGTTTTTTCAAATATTAATTCATTAATTAATGAATAATTAGTAACAATATACAAAAAGGGAAAATCGCCTGTTGTGTCCCTGTAGCGTAATGGGTAGCGCGTTGGACTTCTAATCCAAAGATTGTGGGTTCAAATGGCAGAATCCCACTTAATTTTTGAGAATGGGGATTTCTTTTTACTATACTTTTATTATTGGAATAATTAAATTTAATTAATGAATATAAATAGAGTAATAAACAAAAATAGTAGCCCAACACCATATATAGAAAGGAAAATGGAAAATTGCTTTCTATTTTGCCACCTAATATTGTGATTCTGTTATATGTATATACATATTTATATTAATTGTAATTATTTAATAAAAAGTAGCTAAAAGTAAAATTTTTCTTTGTTGACCTAAGTAGGAATCGACTTAATTTTTTTCCCTACATTACTTGTTTAAAATTAAATTTATTATTTTATTATTTTCGAAGGAATTCATATAAAAAGTTGAAGTTAGTATCAAAATAATAAAATTTTTAGAAATTAATAGTGATTATACATGTTTTGTTACTATTCGAACAAAAATTAAAAGAAAAATAAAGATATGTAAAAAGCTCTAAACAGTTCAAAAATTATTTAAAATGATTTAAAAAGGCTAAAAATAAAACTTTAAGTAAAAAATATCTCTTATAAGTTTAAAATAATTCGATTCAAATTATAATTTCCCCTTAACACCGAAATAAATAAATTATTCGAATCTTGAATAATGACAATTCATCTGTGATAAACTGAATGAAACTCCGATTTTCGTAATTAAGGCAATCTATTTTTAATATTTTCTTTTAAAATTACTAAAAATAACCAAAATACATTTACAGTTTAAAAAATGGGCCTAAAAGATATTTAAAAATAAAAATTAATGAGTATGGTGTGAAAGTTTGGAAAATAGGATACGGCTGAGGTGTCTTTGTCTTTTCACGATGGTTCAAAGTTTTGAAGCTCATCGTTGATTTAATTTCAATTAAACGTGTTGTTCCCCAACTTTTCAGCATGATGATCTTAGCTAAAATGAGGACTCATAAGTGTGATTTAGCTCGAATATCACCAAGAACTGATAAGCGAATTAAAGTGTTAGAGAAGACCCAAAAGCATGAATTTTCATTCATGAATCTAAGGAATTCGCTTAACGTCATTGAAATCTTCGGTTGATTTCCTTTCCAGCATCGAGACTATTTAATACTTTCAATGCCACTCTAAAAGAAAAGTTGTGACGGATCTTTACGCGACCTTCACACTTATCCTCTTGGGAGAATCTTTGGGCTAGCATTCGCGTTAATTCACAGCCATCCCTCTTAAGAAGAAACCCTGATATGGAGATTAGTTTGTCTATGTAAAGTCAGGGTTTTGTAATTGTAAGACAGAAGGAGCGGAGAGACTGTTGCGGTGTCACGAAGGTGATATTAAATTGATTTTCACAATTTGAGTTAAGAGCGGAGTTTGCCACTATACTAAATTAGTGGATTGGGAATTTACAGTCTAAGATAGATAGAGTAGGTTAAACTAAGCTTATTACTTGCGCTTGTTCACTTAGGGTTTATTGCTTTCTTTGTATCACTCCTAGGGCCTCCTCTTGTGGTTTAACTTGTGGTTGATTAGTGTGCTTGAATAGTAATAAAATAATAATTATTATAGAAGTTTCTGGTCATGCTTCGTTTCCTCCTACACTCTTGGGTAGGCAGGACAGTGAGGGAGCGACTTCTGGGGGAAGTCGCTCACAAAGTTTTTGAAAATAATGCCTCTAATTCTTTCTTTTTAACGATTTTTTTTTGAGTTAGATGACATATTGATTTTTGCTCTTTGTTGTTTATTACGAGAGATGTACTTAAAAATATCAATGTTTATTCATGAAAAATCCTGGCATTGTGACTCAACAATCTTTCACTATTTTTTTTTTAAAGTTTCTCAAGCTCACCCTATTTCCAAGGATTCTTCCAGTATCGAGAGCAGCACTGAAAAGCAGAACTTCGAACCGGAACTGAACCGCAAACCGCAAAAAACCGTTATTTTGCTCTGAACGAAAACCGGAATAGAACCGAAAAAACAAACAAACATCGGTTTATTTTGGCTCGATGTATCTTCAGTCCTTTTGTTACTGTAATCAACTTATCAATATTTTCTAATTTAACGTCAACCATATAATTATCATATTACATGTACTTTTTTTTGTTTATAATAAAATTATATTTTTAGTACAAATAAAAATATACAAAAAATAATATTATTTATTCGGAACTGAACCGAAAACCGTTATTTTTGGCAGAACAAAAATCGGAACTGAACAGGTAAATTTTAATTAGTCAAACCGGAATGAAAAAAAAATTCGGTTTGAAACTCTGCTGAAAAGTGACTTTTGAGAAGATAAGTAGATAATCAATCCCTCGGATATCTTCTATGGATTGAAAAGTGGTCTTTTTCAGGAGTATTTTCAACTTTGGAAGGTCATGATAGTCAAGTGATCAAGGTTACGGATTCGAAATCGACGTGTTATGAATTCGAGTTCTAATGCCATTGAAGACCTGCCGTGTAGGTTGATGCATTTTAAATCTTTCGTGGTTCAAAGTATTTACACTGATGTGACGTGGAAGTTAAGAGAAAGGGATGCACACACACACACACACACACACACACACACACACACACACACACACACACACACACACACACACACACACACACACACACACACACACACACACACACACACACACACACACACACACACACACACACACACACACACCACACACACACACACACACACACACACAGCTCAGGTATTGTCTCTTGACCGTGGTTCAAAATTACGAGGACCGTTGTCATTAGCTTTCGTGCTGCTTTATAATGTGACGGTAATATGCATTCACTTGATCAACTGAGCAGCAAGCTAGAAATCATACGGAAGCATGTCAGTAAAGAGCCAGAAAAACAAACGTGTAACATTTGACTAGGAAACTTGGTATCAAATGTGATTAATGGGAGGGTGCGTAATCAAGAAAGGTATGTTAATAACCTGCTATCCACAGGTCACTTAGCATCTGATATTATTATGAAGGTGATGGAGAACTTTTGGGTAGAGTACTTTTTGGAGATAGTTTTGCAATGCGCAGTGCGCGCCTATGATAAACCACACCATTATAGTCAAAGAAGAAGACCAACATGACTTTTGTTCCTTTTTTGACCTCAAAGATGCTGAGGCAAAAAAATCTACCTATAATCTATCTAGAACCACAGACCTATTGATTCTATCAGATTATTTCTACTTGGGTATCACCATGTTTAACACAAAGAATAATGCAATAGTGTTGCTGAAGTTATTCCATTAATTTATCAAAAACGAAAGCCTAAGGATGCTTACTTATCGACATTCTATAGCCTTCGAATGGACAGGAAAAAATGCACGCTGACCATTAGGATCTTCTACATATATAAAATTACACCTCTCTACTGAATTTTTTTACATGAAAAATTATATCCCATAAAAAAAACCCTTGACTTATGTAAATTCACAGATAATGTAATTTCTCGATATGTCCTGTTCCGATTGCAAATGTGCTTGAATGAAATTACTTCTTGATGAGGTACTTTCCATTAGTCGGAGTATTAATGAGTTGAAAAAAATAAGATTTTCTTTCTCTGTTTCTCTGATTTACTCAAGCTCATGAAAGGATATATCTTCCTTGCAAATGATTTTGGACAAACATAGTTCGATGGCATTACTTATATTTTTTCATTGGACTTGAGATTAAAATCAACCTTTTTTCTGAAAAGAGACATTATTTTCCCTATCAATAGATTTACCATATTTTGTGAACTCCAACCCAGGACACATTTTAAAAATAACTTAACTGTTTTCCGAAACAAACTCTACTCATTTGTATTTCTCACTTGTCATGAATGACTTTTTCAGAAATGCCTCATGTGTTTTAATTAGTTCACAAAAATTACAAAAAAGAAAGATATTAATTAATTTTAACATTTAACAAATATTTAACAATAAATTTTGAAAGTCTATCCCTTTCTGCAGATCAAATGTTCTCCAAAAACTCTCTGAATTGGAACAGATGTTTCAGACAAAGACGTCATAAACTCAACCATTTTAGAAAAATATTGCAGCCTGAAATATCAGTCTTTTGAAACACCTTAAAAATTGTTTTCTATGTCTCTTCAACAGTATATCTATGGTACTTTTTCAGAACTTGAACTACAACCTACTTTTGGTTTTAAGTTGCTTTGTTCAACAGTATACGTTCAATATTTATGGAATTTTTTTATAATTTTCGTCAACAAGTAGTTCACTCTCAACTAAATCAAATTAAGTAATAGTGGTTTGTAAATTTATCCACTGAAACTGACTAGCTTTATTAAAACTGGTTCTCCACAACTCTAAGTATTGGATACTACAATTACAAAAATTGCTAATGCTTGAGAAGAATTTTTGTTACCGAATACCATTATTACCTTTTAGGAAATTCTTTGGTGAAAGAAGATGTAAATTTGTGGGTTTTCCCCTGAAATTGACAAAATAATTCAAAATTAGTCTGAAATTTTTCTGTTTCTGGAATAGAATTAGATTCCAATTACAAAACTAGGTTATTAAATATTCACAACCCAGAGAGAATGTCTAAAATTAAAAACAAAGATTCCTCGCCAGCCATAAAATTTTATAAATTCCGCACATTTTTGCATACCCGGAGAACACTAAAAAAAGCTGTCCGGGCTAATCTCGGACGTATGGCATGTCTACTTATCGATATTCCTCAATGGAATTAGTATCACTGATTTCTTAAAACTTTCTACATCGAATATGTAAACATGAATGCATGTACAAATATAATTCATTAAATATTTTTGTATATACATATGTATTTTATTTGTTTTGTAATAACGTAGTACATCTACAGATTAACGTTTTCTGTTTATGTATTACTTAAATCTTTAAAGTTGTGTATGTAATCTTATAATATGTCGTTGTTTAAAAATAAATAGTAGGTATCTTTAGGTATTCGATGTATGCATTTTTCGATTAACGAATTTGTTTTAGTATTACCTACTAAGCAGCTTCTGAATATTACCCTAATGTTTATAAAATAGAAAAATTGTTGCGTATAAA